TCATGTACCTGCATCGAATGAGGATTGAATGAGATGATACACATAAAGACATAGTCCTCGGCCTACAGTTTGTCCTTAGTACAGTTTAGCTGCCGTGACTGGTGTCGCTGTGGCCATATGGTGGGGAGAGCGAGGGGGTTAAGAAGACACAAGGGACACGCTTGGCAAGATATGGAGGTTTTTCTTTGTGCACCTTAAGCACCATGAACATCTACATCTCAGAGGCACCCAGAGGGGCTTCCCTTACTCAGGGACGTAGAGGTGGGGGTTGGGGAAACGACCTTTGGGGGAGTTTTCAGAAATAACTTGTCATCCAAGGGTGGGCCTTTCTCTTTCCCAATGAGCTCATCTCAGGGAGAGGAGCCAAGGGAGGGGGAAATGCCCCTGCCACCATTGCTTCTGGAGGCCTCAGGGCCTGGCCTTACATCTGTGCCCCAGCCTCAGGGACAAGGATGAGCCACCACCTGCAGTAGGGTGGGCTGGGGTGGGGTTACATCCTGCTCTACTCCTCCAAAACCCGGGGCAGGGCTTCCCATTTCGAGGAAGCAGCCCCATCAGCTTATCCTTGGGTGGGGTTTCCCAGAGCCCGAGTGTTTAAAGGCAAATCATTGTTCTGCAGTTCCGCTAAGTTTTAATGACCACCCAGCCGAGAACTCCTCCAAGAACAAAGTGGGATTTTTTGAAACCTACAGAGAGTCAAAGGCAACTAAAAGAAGGACAAATATATGGGCAGGTCTGAATTCTGAGACTCTGTGCAGAGACTTGGATGAGGAAGAGAGCTGACATGGTGGATACCAGGCCCAAACCCCATTCTTCCCATTGTGATCAAGCAAAACAATTTCACTGTGGGTCTTTTGTCCGTAAAATGGGTTTGGCATCATTTGGGCCCCAAGAGGAACCGTGATCTTGGAAATCTGGCAGTCTAGTCTCTTTTGGTCCCAGCTTACCAGCTACTTTCTCTGAGACCTTGGCATCGTTTCCATCGCAGATCCTCAGTTCTCTTACTGGAACGTGGAAGGCTGGGCTCTAGATGTCCTGTTGTTCCATGATGTTGTCTAGGTCAATGGGCAGAGGTGTGGTGAGAAAGAGAATACCGAGAACAGATAAGAAGGTGGGACACATCTGAGAAGGATTTTCCAGAGTCCCAGCAAACAAAAGGGACACACCTAGCCGCTGCAGGCCTTGGGCTGTGTCCTCTGTTCCTTCCCTAAACCAGGCTACCTAGGTCATCCTCTGGGATTTTCTCTCCCCAATCTGTTTGTGACTCAGCTCTTCTTAAAACTGGTCTGTTCCAGCTGCCCAATCAGCATGACCTTGGGAGGTGGTGAGGAACGTGACCAGGCAAAGGCCATGTAGAGGTGAGGGGCACCCATCAGTAACACTGAGGAGGAGCCTTCTATTCTGATGAGAAAGCAGCCGCAAGGCCCCGTTCACCCGCAGTTCAATTAGGGAGGTATTTAATGCACCCTTGCTCTGTGCTGGGCGGTGAATGAGGAGCAAGGTGGGTCTGGGGGTCCGGCCTGTGAATGGACAGCCCTGTCTTCAAAGAGCTGAGGGTCTTGCCACCCAGACATTTTGTATCTGGTGACCACACCTTCATGTGGTTTCTGGGTTTGCTATGAAGTATCCAGGACCATCAGACCTTGCCTGGCTCTGGAGGACAGGACAAATCACAGTCTGCTTCTTTCTTCAGCATCTGGAGTGAATCAACTCAGCCGTGTGACTGTTCCCAATGCCCTCTGCACCGTTTCCTTCACTCTTTCTCTTTATCCTTTGGGCACCCGCTGCCCTTACTCAGACCCACTCAGAAGTTCCTGTCCCTTCAACCTGGCTGCCCAAAACTCACATTTCTCATTGTGCAGACAGTTGGGAGACACTAAATGGGTATCAGTCCTGCCCGCTGTGCTTATGAGCTGGCTGATAAGGGCCCTCCGAGGCAGCACTGATGAGCGGACCACAGCAGACAGGCGCACTTAAGGGCACTCGTTGCTCAGGCCCTAATGAGTGCCCCAATAAGTGGGGCTCATGGTGAGCGCTGTGCGTTCACAGCAGGGGAGGAGATGGAGATGTCACTCTGGCGCTGAGCTAAGACTCCGAGGAGCTGGCACTGGAAGGTAAGGCTTAGTCCTGCTATCACTGGTGAATGTGAATTCCAGTGCATATTTCTAGCAAAACAAATGACGGAAAGAGGAAATAAAAGAGACATTTTAAAATTTAAGTATAAGTGATTCTGCCTGGCATTGGAAGCTATGTGCATGTCCTCTTGTGACAGACTCTACTGGTTGCTTCTGTGACAGCCATCAAGGTCTCCTTTCTTGCTGGCCAAGATCCTGTGTAGTGCTTTTGTTTATCATCTTCCAGGGGGCTGTATGCTTAGAGAAGGCTGAGACCCTCCCCAAACCAGGGGGTAAATCTTGATTAATTAGCTCCAAACCAGTTTGGATAATTCCATTCCTTTTTCCACGATCAGTTTAGGAATAGACTTATGCTTTGTTTTTGACCTGAGAGATTTTGGGGATCAGCTTAGAGATGTGGAAAGGTGCTTTTGTCAAAGGCTTATTTACTCCTCCTTTTTCCTACCTCTGGAGGTTTTCATGACACATGGAACTGCTCTGTCCATCTTGGGACCACAGAAGAAAGTCAGGAAAATTGCAGGGAGGTCAAACTGAGGCCATGAGACCATGGAGCCATTGAATTAACCACCTGTGAGCCATTGAATTAACCACCTGTGGTGCCATGCTACGTTGAGACTTCTTGTTATATGAGCCAGCCAATCTTTTATTGTTTAAGCCTCCTGAAATAGACTTTCTATTACTGTGGCCAAAAATACCCTAAATGATACGCCCCAATGTGAAGAAGACAAGGTAGGTGTTAGTCTGCTATTTCCACACTCGGTCACAGCTCTTTCTATCTCATAGTCTGAGTAACTCCAAACCCTGAGAATTCTAGAGTTTCAAGATCTATATTTTTTTTATACAACGTGATCCCTAGTACAAGCCAACAACATCACCTGGTACTAAGCAGAAGAAATGGGCTGCCTGAAGTTAGAACAAAAAGTGGCTCTATGGGGCTTTCTGAGGTATGGGGCTTTATTGTACTGCATGGGAGATTTAAGGAATATTTGAGGGCAGTTGTGACTATGCAGGTGTATGCCCTTGTCTTTGGAATGTCAACCTTCGTAAGACGTAATTAACCTGTTGAATAAGCACTGGGCACAATGGCAACAGAGTGGCCCCAAAGAAGTAGAAAGTATGGACCAGCATAACTTGGTTGAAGAGATAAAGTTTAAAAGGCAGAATTGATTTAGAGGCTAGAACATGGATTTATGTAAAGAATCCTCTGAAGGTCCTGGCATGGTAGTTCAGTTGGTTGGAGCACCATCCCTGTATACCAACTTTGCAGGTTAGATATATGGTCGAGGCAACCAATGAATGCACATGAGTGGAACAACAAATTGATGTTCTCCCTCTCTCTCTCTAAAATCAAAAAGTTAAAAATATTTTTTAAAAAAAGAACTCTCTGTAATGAGAACTAGGAGTTGATGGAAAAGGCAAGTCTGGAAGGGCTACTACTCCTAAGGCTGGGCTTGGTTATGCTGCTGTAATAAACAGCCCCAACTCCTGTGGCTAAAAGCAATAAAGGTTTAGTTCTCACTCAGTCTGCATGGCATTGTGGGTTGGCTGTCTCTGCTATGCACTACCCCATCTGGGACTCAGGCTGACAGAACCACCACTATCTGGAATATTACAGTTCACCGTGGTAAAGGGAAAGGATACTTTGAAGGTCCTGTATCAGTAATTAAATGCTCTGGCTCAGGAAGGGCAGATGCCACTGCTGCCCATACCCATCAGCCAGAAGTGTACAACATGTAATCAATATTTGTATACGCTGCGTAGTGTTCACCACTGTAAGTCCAGTTTTCATTCCATCACAGTTAATCCCCTTCATCCATTTTGCCCTCCCCCCAATCCCATATCCCTTAGGTAACCATCAATCTGTTCTCTGAATGTATGAGTTTGTTTTGTTTTAGATTCCACATAGAAGTGAAATCATATGGTATTTGTCTTTCTCCGTTTGACTTATTTCACTTAGCGTAGTACCCTCGAGGTCCATCCGTGTTGTCACAAATTATAAGATTTTTTTTTTTTTATGGCTGAGTTGTTTTATCACATCTTCTTTATCCATTCATTCATCGATGGGCATTTAGGTTGTTTCCATATCTTAGCTATTATAGGTCAAATTGCAGTAAGTTTATGTTTTTAAAAATATACCTGTTGTTATTTCAAACTTTTCACTAATATAAACCATTCCATCCCCATTCACACATACCATTACATCTGAATTAATTTAGCTTTTCTATATTCTGTTCTTAGGTGTTACAAAATAAAAGTCCTTGGCTTCTTTTTTGAGATTGGAGAGAGCTAAATCTTGTATCTTGACAAATACTCTTAGAGATGACCTGACAGCTTAAGAAAAAAATGAACACTAAGACTTATCAAGACTTGGAGAGAAAGCATATATACATTTTAACAGTGAGTGTGAAAACTCAGCTATTTCCAGTAGGTGTGTGGAATGTAGGACAGTGAATAATCTGGAACCGTTTCTATTGGGTATTGAATTAGATTCAGATGTGCGTTTTTCCGTGTCCTGGGATTTACTGTGAGCCCTAAGTAAGACCTCAGTGTGAGGCCTGGATTCCTGAGTTCATTCCAACCTCTTCTTTACTGTGAGCTAGGAATAGAACTCTCTGTAAGATACAAGATTTGGACAGTGGACTCCAAAGTTGGATGTTAGGTAAAAACAGAAGAGTTGCTGAGCACCCACACTTCTGAAAGGAAGCTTTCCCCGTGGTAACTGCCAGACAGGTGAGGTGCTGGGGATGAGCATTGGTTTCTTTTACAAGTCACTTGGGATTGGAATCTGCAAAACAATGGGTGTGTCTATCCATGCCCGCCGAAGAATGCACTTGGCTCCAATGCCGCTGTTTCATTATTTTTCAGGAGTTGGGTGGGAGAGTGCGCTGCTGAGGGGAGACGAAGCAGGCTCGGACGCCGCAGGAACATCCAGCGCAGACATGACTATCAAGGTAAGACGTCCTTTCTCTAGTTTGATTCTCAAAGAGTGTCTCGAGAGGGAAGTGAGGCTGTGGCAGACTCGTAGGGGTAAAATGAGCACTGCTCCGCCACCTCTGCAGTCACTGAAGGCTCAGTGAGTCACCCAGACATGCAATTTCCTGAAATCTGGGATCTGGATTAGGAAACTTCCTGAAAGCTAGAAGCCAAGATGTGGCTTCCAATGAGCCTATTGTAGGGTCTCCAATGAATATCTACGTGTAGGTGTGTCTGCAAGTGGTAACCCCATGGGCACAGTGAAGCAAATCTGAAAATTCTGAGCTGAGGAACTGGGCCCCACTGTGCATTGTGAAGAAAGGTCAGAGAGGCATAAAGTAGCTTTGATCTTGACTCAAGATTTCCACTGATGTCAGTGGGAAGGCAGCACATGGCCCATTCCAGCTGGAACACTAATGGCCAAAGGTTTACAAAATGAGTCATCTGGAAATCAACCTCATTATCACCGTTCAAATTAAATACATGAATTCGTAATTATTGCCTAGGTTAAGGAATTCATAGCAAAATTTATCAGACTCAACCGCTTCCCCTCTATTACTGGATTAGACACAAAGGAGCAGCCCCCTCTCTTGGAATTCTGTTTATGTTTCAGTTCACAAAGGCTGGGGTGGGAGGGCTTTCTAACATTTTTGCTGGAATGGTTAGAATTTAGATATGTGTCACTTACGATTTTTTTTTTTTCAAAACAAAAAGTAATTTCTCTTTTTATATTGTGATACAACTACAGATATTTCACTCCTAGACTTATTAGGGGTTGTACAAAAGAATATACAGGATGAATGTATTCAAGCTTTTCTTTGTGATATGAAGGCTAACCTTATGTTATCCATGTTAAAAATATTAGAGAAAGCAAACAAAAATACCACGGTGAAATTAAATAAAAGGTGAGTAGTAAGTAGCCTCATTGGTCAAAAAGAAAAAAAAATCAACTAATCTATATAAGGATCCAATGCTGAAAATTTGTTTGCCTGTAAGTATGTTTAGCAGAATTTGCAAGACACTAATATAAATTACGATGATGCGTTGGTGTTTCATTGGCTCCTGTTGAAAAGACTTAACAGTTTGAGAAGTCTATGGATGGAAAGGGATGGGTGCTGATAGTAAAGCTTGATGGATGTAGATGTGCTATTTTGGAGTCTATCATCATTTTAGGAATTAGTTTCTCAGCTGTGTTAGTTGCAGATGTAGTGAAGACATTTAAAAGGTCAGATAGGCTAGAATTTGTTTTATAAATGCAAATGGCATAATGTGATAGACGAAAGTCTTACCCCAGTTCCATTTTATGAGGTTGCTATTGTACCTAATCAGTCCATTTATCCTTGTTGCCAGGATCTTGGCTGAAGTTTTATTTTGATCTATCCAGTTTAGATGTTATTCTTGTTCTCTTCTCTTTTAATACCTGGGAATTTTCTTTGTAAGAACAGAGGATTTTTGGTTCACAAGAACTGAACCCGCTGTGAAGAATGAACACCATATAACATTAACAAGTTAGGCAAAATAAAAATGTATTTAAATACACTCATAACTTTGTATAAATATTAAGTTCCCCTATTAATGCCAGTTACTTCTCACTAAAGAAATTGTGAAACCTGTAGGTGTGTGTACCTTAGGGAAATGCTTCTGTTTAGATCTTCTCCTTTAGGTTTCCTAATAAATCAGCAATCATCATTTTTTCCCCTTTAGTATCATGCTTTTCCCTGCCCCACTCTTCTTGATGTATTCATCCTGTCCTTCTATCCATCTTAAAGTACTATTTTTTTCATGTCTATAAATGCCTGACATTCATGAATTAACTACAGGCTCCTCATTATATATTTATGTATCTACAGCTATTTGTGTTTCTAATAGCTATTTAACATATCCTTGCAATATCAGCTGTCCCCGATATATTCTTTTGGCCCTGGGAGGGAAAAAATATTATGTTAAAACATTAATTACTATAAAACCTGATTGATTGACACTCTGCAAGAGACTAACAGCAGAAATCACTAAACTAGTTTGGTTTCCTCTGTATTACTCTACTTGTGACAGATGCATCTATCTTAGTGATTCAAAATTTTCCTTCTGAAAAAGGTGCAAAATGTTTTGCAATGCCATAACTGAATGTGCTTTTTTTCTATTATGCTTAGCCTTTTAATATCATGTCTTAATTTGAAATGACAAAATCATGCTTCTAAAAATATACATGACTCGAATGAATTTGTTCATAAACAAACATGTTATTCTGAGAAACCTTGAACTAAGAGCATTTATATTAAAAGCACCCTCTAAATATACTGATGTAATGTAGGTAGGAGCATCCAATGGGCCCGATCAACAGTTTTAAATCACTCAACATAATAGGGGGAATTGTGAACCCCTCCCTCCCCCCAAAAATGATATGTCCAAATCCTTAACCTTGATACCTGTGAATATGGCCTTGTTTGGCAAAAGGGCCTTTGAAGATAGAATTAAGTTAAGACTCTCAAGATGAGAACATCCTGAATTAACCAGGTAGGACCTAAGTCCAATGACACATGTCCCCACAAGACACAAAAGAAGAAGAAAAACACATGGAGATGGACATGTCAAGAGCCAGAGACAGGAATCTAGCTTATATGTGGGTGCAAACCTCAGGATGCCTGGAGCCACCAGAAGCTGGAAGAGCCAGGAAGACCCCTCCCTTAGAGCCTTTGGAAGGAGCATGGCTCTGCCAACACCTTGATTTTGGATTTCTGGCCTCCAGAATTGTGAGAGAATACATTTCTGTTGTTTTATGTCACCAAGTTGATGGCAATTTGTTATGGCAGCCGTAGGAAACTAATATACTCAGATCTACCAAAAATTGCTCCTATTCTTCTTGATATACAATCTCCCCCACTAGAATGTAATTTCACTAAGGGCGTGCACCCCCAGCACATAGCTGAGTGTCTAGCATATTGTGTCAACATTTGTTGAATGAATAAATGAAGGCCAGTCTTTATCTAGACTGTGGTTAAGCTGGGCCACAGGGATGCTGGACCACGGGCTTTCCTCAAATCCACCCGCTGTATTCTCACCTTGGGGTCTTTCTCTTGTGGCTTCCTTCCTACTTTCCCCTCATAGGCCACTTGCCTGAGTGTTTTGTTTTTCACTTGTTAGATATTCTGAATTAGAGTTCTTTTTTAACCATTCATTTCTTTAAAAACACAACTCAATTGAGGTATATAATTTACATACCATAAAATTCACACTTTTAAGTGTACAATTCAAAACTTTTTAGTAAATTTGCCCACCTTCACCATAATTCAGCTTTCTAACAATTTTATCACTCCCATAAGGTCCCTCATGCCCAATTACAGTTAATCTCTGTTCTCACCCCCTAATCCCAAGCAAACACTGTTTTCTGTCTCTACAGATTTGCCTGTTCTGTTCATCTCATTTAAGTGGAATCATAATATATGGTCTTCTGTGTGGCTTTTTTCACTTAGCCTAATGTTTTTGGGGTTCATCTATGTTATAGCCTCTATCAGTATTTCATTCCGTTTGGTCCTGAATAGTATTTCATTTAATGGATATACCAGTGTTTGTTTCTTAGTCCATTCACAAGTTGATGGACTTTTGTGTTGTTTCTGCTTTGAAGTTATTATGAATAATAGCTCCGGAATAATGCTGTTATGAATATTCATGTGCAAGTTTTGGTGTGGACATACGTGTTTGTCATGGGTATGTTTCTAGGAGTAAAACTGCTGGATTGCATGGTTAATCTGTGTTTAACTCCTGGAAGAACTGTGAGATTGTTTTCCAATGTGTCTGCACCATTTTATGTCCCCACCAGCAACGAGAGTTCTGACTTTTCCACATTCTGGTCAACACTTGATATTGTCTGTGTTTTGATTGTAACCATCCTAGTGGGTATAAAATGGCACTTCACTGTGGTTTTGACTTGCATTTCCCTGAAGGTTAATGATGGTGGGTGTCTTTTTTATGCGGTTATTGGCTATTTGTGTGTAGTTCATCTTTTGGTGGCTTGATTTTCTTTATTTGCTGAAGGGTGGGTTCCCTAGTCTGTTCACTCATTATATGCTCCACCACACACAGCACCCTTTCATAGCAGGTGCCCAGCCAGTACTTTCTGAGTGGGGATCTTCTTCTTGACTATGGAAGGTAGGGGAGAAACCTACTTTTCCTCCTAAGGGGCATTGCTGCCCGCCTGGTCCCCACCACTGCTGCCCTGGGTGGGAGAGGGGGCATCTTATCAATCTCATCAATCTCTTTTCTTTCCATTCCTTTTTCCTTCTTTCTCTTTTCTGTCTGGTTATTTTCCCTTTACATCTCAGCTTTTTTTTCTTCCTTATCTTTATTAGCCAAGAAATACACACACACACACACAGTGGTAAAATATATTTGACATAAAAAGTCTCCTTTTAATCATTCTTAAGCGTGCAGCTGTAGCTCTGTAGCATTTATGTTATTCATACTATTCTGTAGCCATCACTACTCACTGTCTCAAACTGAAACTCTATGCTCTTGACCAATTCCTCATTCTCTCCTCCTCCCCATTAAAAATCAATTCCCTGTTTGTTCCTCCCTCCAGATCTGAGCAACCACCACAATAGTACGTTTTCTATGTAATAATCTCGAGGTGTTTTCTCAAAGGCATTTAAAATACATCCTGTTAATAGTAAAAAGCCAGTAAGTTGGCTCAACTTCAACCAAGTATTTCAATACCCTCTGGGCAAGGCAAGCTTTATGTACCAATAGTGTTCCTTAAGAAAGCTACTAGTTAGCTGCAACATGAAGAGTGTGCTGGTCACAGAGCTTCCTTTCTTTTGGGGAGTGGACTGCCCAGTGCCAACATCCCGGAAGTGCCCGCCTTTATTCAGCTCGGAGCATTGCTGGGAGCCACCTGTTACACCTGTTTGGCTGTGCTTTGTTTTTTTAAAATTTCATTTATTTGATGACTGTTCAAAACTACATCAATGTTCATTAAAGAAGG